AACGATGAAGAGCTGTTCGCAAACACGGATATAGGTGGAACCAATGCGAGAAGATCGGCACCTGCATCTACATTTGGACAACAGTAAGTTTCAATGGGCATAGCATTTGCTTGATTTCCCCCGGAAGTAAATGTAAGTGCAGCCTGACTGGTGAATGGAAATAGCAACCATGTCATCCAACTTTGAATTTTCGATAAAACGTATCCCATCGTTGTGATTTGTAGAAGAGTAGCTACTTCCTTGACAGTTAAAAGAGTACATTGAAAAAAATATTTATTTGCTGTCTTCTACCTATTTCTTTTCACATGTTTCAACAGACGGTGAAAAAGAAAAAACTGCTTTTTCTTCTTTGCCGTCACGAAATGAAAAAAAAGAACGCACGCAATGAGACGATTCACGTCAGTCGATTTTATAGCGGGAGGGTAGACCTTCATGTTGTGGATGTGCATGGATGTAGGCAAAATATTTAACCACAGTCACATTCATAGCCACGTCCTTAGATATCGATTAGAACAGTTGTGATAAAATAAATGTCGATATTATTATTTGATCTAACTATTTTTTTGGATTTTGCTGTTTATTGTTACGCTGGGAAGCGCTTACATAATGATATGGAAGGAAATTTAGCATCGCAGCAAGAAAGAACCTAGGAAAACATCAGTGTAAATTTCATCAACATGGCAGTAGGCTACAATATGACACTTTCAACAACAGAGGAAGAAAAATAATGAGAAAAAATAGAAAAATAAAAAAGAATATGAAAAAAAAAACAAAAGAAGGAGAAGAAGAAGGGCAAAGGAAGAAAGAAAGAAGAGGAAAAAGAGGCACATAGATGCACATGGAAGCATTTAGTCAACAAAATCAATCTATTTAAGCAGCGGAGTTCCATGTCTCTCTTTCAATTTTTTCAAGCTTTTCATCCGAAAGAAATGACCAAGACTATCTCCTTGACTTTTTTGAAACTGTCCCAAAATAATATATCAAGATAGAAAAGAGATCATCTTGATCAGACTTATGGATATTCTACAATATTTTTTTAATACATCTTTTAGCGTAAAAATCGAGAGGACCTTGAGGGTGTGGGAGCAGATATAGAGTGTGAGGGTATGGCATGAATGAATGTGGATGTGGGGTGTGGATGAAAAATGTGAACATAGTTCGTCTGTTTACCACGTCTACACACATCCTCAATCCATACTCACATCCACATCTCAAAAAATAAAACATACCGTCTGGGATAATTGAAATATTAATGAATAAACATCTTTATTCTAAATCATTTTATTAAAACGCGATGAAGATGGAATCAACTATTGACAAGCACCTAAACATAGCCTCATTTTTTAGAAGAGTACATGAAAAGATTACGTTGATTCGATATTGCTTGTATTCATACTGTTTGAATACCAATTCATTAAGCTAAATGCTTGAATAAAACAGACGCAAATAAAAGTCACATGCTGATGCAGACTACGTGTGATTTATTCAAGAGCAATTTTCTTATTTCTGCACTGAAGATTTTTAATTGATAAATGTAAAATATTTAGTAGAAATGTAATACGGAATCAATTTTTTCCAATAAACATCTATTCAACATTATTGAGTACGAGCGTACAGAAATTCTAGTATAATGCTGATAACAATTTTAATAGATGGTAATATTAATTTATGCTCTGTTAAGGAATTTAATTGATATAAACGAGTAAGAATCGGATCTAACGAAAGTAGATGAAGAATGTCTAATGAATGTACAACGAATAGTATGATAGAATACAAACTTTGTAAAATAGTGAACGATGTACTGATGATTGTGCGCCGTCAACGTAAATGAAGTTAGCACCGGATTCGAGTATTTTCAGCTCCGATTCGCCCAGGAAGCGTTCTAGGTGTTCCTGTTTCTATTCCGAGTAGAGTTCAACGTGCGCTATCGAATGGTGAAATCAGATCTACGATATCTTATACCATTCTTTCACAAATTGAAAAATACCGATTTCTCACCATAAGCGTCAGGGGATCTGCGAGTAATTCCAGCAGCGATTTCACTAAGAATATATTACAGGCATTTTTACTGGTGTCAATCAATAGAGCATGCCGAATTCTACTTGAAACACGAATAAAGAGAAGCTGAAACACATCTTGGACGAATCAGTGCTCGAATTATTCCCCAACTTCTCCATGAACGATAGAGAAAAAGTAGTCATTTTCAATTTGTGAAAGAATGGTATGAGATATCGTAAATCTGATTTCACTATTCGATGGAGCACGTCAAACTCTACTTGGAAGACAAATGAGAAAATCTGGAATGCTTTCTGAGCGAATTGTAGCTGGACATACTCGAAACTGGTGCTAACTTCACCTACGTCCGTCGTCATTACTTTTGATATACTCGAAATATTTATATGTTAAACCAACATGATCGATGTAGTGTTTTTTACAGGCTCAAAATTTTTGATCGGGTTCCTCTCCATATCTTTAAATATATAGAACAAATCAGATATTGATAAATATGATTTACACCTTGTAAAAATTTTTTTCTTTAGTTCAACTACCTATCAGAGATGAAATCGGTTCGATTCAAAACAAAACCGTGAATTGACCCCATCTCTACTACCTATGCATATATTTCAGAATGGTAATTGTTTAAATTATGTTTCAGAAACTGCCGTCACTAAATGAACGTGTGTTATTTTGACATAAATGATTACATGTAGTGGTGACTGTATGAGAGTACAAAAATATTCAGATTTGAAGCTATGCTGAGATACTACAAGTTTATTCATTATATTTTTATTTTTACATAAACTGTATCATAGGTTCATTGGTGTACATTTGAAAATAAAATATTTCTCTTTATTGAACGAAATTCTACTGTATGGATAAGCCGAGTCAAAAAAAAGAAACAGATTAATTCTAAATAAAACGAAGATAATTAGTATTACAGAAGAACTGTTGATATTTTGACTTTGACAGGTGAGAGCACAAAAATTAAAATCTTAATCATAATCAGCTCGTCTAATTCTCTTGAAGAATACAGTATCTTTCAGAATATGTCCATGTTGAAGTCATAAGACGTATGTCAAGAACAAGAATTGAATAAAAAAAGTTCGTTTTTTTTGTTGTCCTATGTCGAACCATATATAACGGGAAAGACAAAAAAAATTTCCATGTGCTAAAAGGATATTTCAATCGATCACCATCTTATCATAGTTTTTTGTAGATCCATCATGGCAATTCGTAACCGGTTTCTTTTTACTCATTTATTCAATTAATCTAATGGACAAGAATGACAGAATTAACAACAAAAATTAGATATTGAAGCGTAACTGCGACCTCTCTGTCTAAGAATAACAAGCAGCAACTGACTACAATACGAAAAAACATTTTTATCTAATTTTTTTTACTTCAGTTTTTTTGTTTATCTCGGTAAATGAATGAAGAAAAAACAATAAAAATTCATTATTCTGGTTTTTATCATATTTATTCATATGCATATCATCCAGTACAAAAAGAGAAACAACAATCGTTGTATATTCGTACGTATTATCTAATGTGAACTATTTTTAAAAATTCATTATTGTTTGTAGTATTATCAATCATCTGTCTTGTTTGTTCGTGTCATTTATAAGGTCAAATAGGTATTTTAATTGTAGATTTTTTTCTTGACTTTGAAGCCAGAAGACAATAAAAGAAGAACTATTACTTGAAAAACTAAACTATCATAGAAATCAAATACAAACGAAGAAATTTGAAATCAACAAAAAAAACAATTTCTAATCTTGAAAAGATCAATTTACTGTAATATATCGCCGATTGAAAGACACTAAAACCATTATGATGAAACGATTAATTATATCGTTATAATGTTAATTTATGTACTAAAATCTCAAATATCCTAATATCAATAGACTAACTATGATACGTATTTCAGAAATTGGTCATCAAATAAAATCCAATGTTTAATTTCTTTTGAAAATAGTTTATTCAAGTGTGAAAATGAAATGAAGAGAAAAAGGCAAGAAACACACACATATCAACGGGACAATGAAGAATGCAAGTAGATCAACAATATAGATTTAATTGTATCGTTTCTTTTTGTAAGATTGTTGATTTTCATAAATATTTCCATAATAATCAACTGCTAGATTACTTTCATTACCATATGATGGTGATGGAGAACTATATGAATATGCATTATAATTATTTCTTATAAAGAAAAAAAACAAACAATTATTTAAAACAAAATAATAATTAATTATAGTAAACATACCGATTATCAGAACTATCCCGAAAGCCTTTTGCAAATGGATTATAATCAATTTTTAATTGAGTAATCTATTTTAATAGATTGGTTTTATTTTTCAAATTTTAATTTGAAATTTAATTTAAATAATAATTAACTTACATCAGTATTTTGATAAGCTGTTACAGCAATAAATTGCGTTTCAGGAAATGTAAATGTATGTTTTATTGATGAACTATTTTTATTTGATGATAATATTGGATCAGTTGATTGAACATTGACTTCAATAATATTCAAACGTGGCATATATTTATGCATTGAATTAAGAATAATTGTCATCTAAAATTACAATACACGAAAAACAAACAACAATCTAATAACGAACTATTCTTACTTGATTTTGTGAATGATTTATTGATAATTGTTTATTATTTGTTAATTTTAATTTAGAAAATGAGATTTTCTCATGTTTCATCCAATGAATTCCACTATTTGGTGAATCAGGATGTAAATAACAATGATCTAAAAATCACAACATGAAATAGTTTTATATATATATATAGTTTAAAATAATTTCTTTTTTGTTTTTTTTGTTACTTGTTTTTTGACATTGTTCAGCTTGTCCAGATGGTATCCATTTACCAGAATTAAATTTCCAATGATTATCATCTACTAAAACTATATCAACATACATATCATATGTTGCTTCAGGTTTTAATCCATAGACTTTAAATTCAAGAGTTGGAAACATACGACGACCAGCTAGAAATTGATGAAAATTTTTACAAACTGTATTAATTCAATTAATATACTCACTTTTTGTGACAATATTTTCAAGTGTATGTTCAGCAAATTTCAACCATAATGGTCGATTGATTAATTCAACAACAATAGAATCGGATCGACAAGTTCCATCTGATGGTAACTTAAAATAAAATCAATTAGAAATATTTAATGATAGATGAATATTTTTTTCTTGGTTAATTGCTATTGATACATCTATATGAATCTTGCTAAGAGCTCTTTAGAAAATCAAAAGTAATAAAAACATCAGTGGATAATCATTAATACAACATAGAACTTTGCATATCAAAAAAAAAATGCTGCTGAAGACTTGCATAAATATCGATGTTTATACTGCATATCTCACTAGGAATTGCTTGATTCCAATATTGCCAAATGAATTCATGTCTTAGATCAAATCTTGTATATAAAATATCTTATTTTAAGTAAATAATTCATTATCAAGTTGCTTGCGTAAGAAACAAGAAGGCTGAACGTATGGCGATCTAATCATGAAATGAAAATTCTCGCTCCTCATATTGTCTAAGCAAACAATTTGATTAGAGAATTGCAAAATGGCTCCGATCTCGACTCGATTTTAGAAATGCTACTGAGTCTGGAAAAGTCAATTTTGCAGTTCCCTAGGCTTGATAATAAACTATTTACTTAAAATAAGTTTTTTTTTAAATACACCATTCGATTCAAATCCATTTACATTTTATCTTTGGCGAACACAATAGAAGAGACATCCTATCAAATTTCTAACTTACACAAGGTATTAGATAATCCATACTATTGCTTGTACTACAATTTGTTTGTTCAACAGATGATTGAACATAATTTGAATTTTGATGAAATATTGTATTTGATGGATGAGGTGGAATTGATGATAAATTATAATCATACACTGGTGTTGTTATTTGTTGATGTGATGATTTTTGTGAATATAACATTTCATTAACATGACCTTCAGATGAATAATGTTGATGATGATCAGTTGGTATATAAACTGTAGATGAAACTTGATTATTTGAATCTTCTTCATTAATATGATTATTAATTTGTTGATGTGAATATCTTGGTGAAAGTGTATAGTAATGATTTGTTTCATAAATCGATGTACGATAATGTTGAAGATTATTTGAATCATTATTAATTGATATTGGACAATAATGTTGTTGTGTATCATAATAATCTGTTGAAGTTTTACTATTATTTTTTTTAGTGCCAAGTGGTGTTAACATAGTTATAATATTAGTATGCTGTTCACGCTTTCTCTGCAACAGGTGCTAATCGAGTGAGAGAAGAAAGATGAACAATAATGAAAAAAAAAAATGTCTCTTTTTTTACAAGAGAGAAACATTAAAATGACCAATAAGAAAAAACAACCAATGAAAAAAGAAAAACAAGAACCTTAGATATATGATTATTTTTCTTTTCTTTTTGATAATTAATCAATCATCATGGGAAAATTAAGACGACTTTCCAAGCCACTCACTTCTAAAACTATATGCTATGCATTTTAAAGAAAAGATTTTCGTTTTTTAAGAAAATAAAACCGAATAACCTATCAAAACAGAGCAAGTTAACATTGATTTGAAGTGATAATTACAATCGGATTCATTCACAAAAAAAAAAATGTCAAAAACAAAAAAAAAATAGTTGTACGTGTCAAGTGTGAATAACATTTGAACTTTCTTTCTTTTTGTATAGGATATATTGATTTCTATTTTGCATTATCAGCTTTTTTTTCTAATTTTTTGTGATTTACTTTCATCTTGAGCGGAATTGAAGATCCAAAAACAAAGCAAATCTATTTGCTCTCATTTTTTTTTCTTTTTAGTTTGAAGATTTATCAACAAAATATCAACAAATGATGATTGTTATTGTCTATAGATGATATAACATCAGATTAAATATTAGATATTTCTTCATTTGTATTTCTAGTCATTCTGGGAAATAGGTATAGTTACGGTTTAGATTAAGTAGAACTGATTGATACAATATTCATTTTGTTAAGCTTGTTTGATAACGTTGATTAAGATTTATTTAGGAAAAAATATTTCACATATAAAATTAGATTAATTCTTTCACGAGAAAACTAAAATAGTATCATTTTTTTATATACATACTGCAATTTTCAGAGGTATCCGAATGCCGTCAGGATTGGGGAAGAAATGATAGATCACTCAGAAGATCGATCAGAAAATTTTTTAAGATCAAGGTTCGTCCGTTCGAGGCACTCCTGGTAATTTTTATCAAGAAAACTCTATGAATAACAGATTAACTTATCATATATTAATCCAAAAATAAATCAATGTAGGTTAATTAATATTTGAATTATATATCATCATGCAACGTTAAAATCTATGCGTGTATTCTATGAGAGAAATCTCCTGTGTTATACACCCTTTTTCATCCAACCAATATCATGTATCACACATTCACTCTCTCTCTCTTCTATTCTATTCCATGGCTATTATCACATTTTTAATAAGATACCGCTGGTGCACTATGGCGGCATGTAGTGATAATGAAATTATGAACATAATGTTTCTTTGTTTTAGTCATCTCATAGCCGCTGTATATTCATTTAAATATTTGTACAAGCAACTTTGATAATGAAAGAAAAAAAAACAATTGACATGATTTGATTTAAAGTTGAGTAATGGTTTTTCTTTCTTTCTTGAAATAGTATTTAAAAGTTCGACAATATATAGAAATGATTATCTAAACAGTCTACATTGATTAATTGAATATCTATTGGATTCTCTTAGTTTAATAATTCGAAATTTTGAGATAAAGGATAATTTAGATACATCTTGATTTTCATATAGTGAAAAATTATAGTAAAACTGCCTTTTCAAAATAACTATACACCAATGTCTATCATTTTCCATTGTTGAGACTTGATTTTTTTTGTCAAAAGATTTTTCGTTCAATGCGCTTTAAACTTGTAAACATTTCGATATAGAAATTGATTATGAAGAAATATCGGCTGTGAACTGTAAGACATCAAAATAACGTATTTTTTAACATTGTTTTGTCAACTTCCTTTATCTTAGACATGAGACGTTCTACATGAAAAAACGAAGATGAATTGAAATCTACTGCCCAAAATTTTTCATGGTAATCTTCTACACTAAAATGCTTTGCACAGATTTTTAAAGATTCCTATGAGGAATATTTTGGCAAAAAAAATCTAAGCCCCATCAATACAACATGATAGAGATATTGATAAAATACTAGAAGGACCGTTGATTTTGAAATATGTCACTGACAAGAACGAACTCTGTGCGGTCTATCTCGATAGCATTCATTAGATTCAAAGGTGTTTTTATATCCATATTTGTTTTGTTGCCTATTTTCATGATAATCGATCTTCAAATTACACCAAGCTCTCGCGTAAATAGTTCTATAATCTTAGCAAAACTTAAACAGTTTCATATCGTTTTCTCGATCTGTTTTTTCAATGAAATCATTTTAAAAGATAATAATCTTACGGTGTATACAAAGTAATTCGGGATACAACTTGATATAAGTTGACATTAGATCAACATAAACCACAGTTTAATATTCATACGAACAAAATAAGTTGCATTCAATATCAACATGGTGAAAGAACGTATAATCAGTTAGATGAGAAGAACGTTTTAAGAATATTTATTTTGAAATAGTTGTCTAATATGTTTGAACTTTTACAAGTTGGTTTTCGTAGAAAATAAATCAATGTTGTACTTTTTTTTTCCTTTCATTTTCTTTTTGTGTACTCAAAAAGTGAGTACACTCTAGAATCGGTCAGTGTGTCCGGCCGTCCGTCCGTCCGGCCGTATACACGATAACGTTTGAAAGAAGAGTCCAATCGCGATGAAATTTTCTACACAGTTTAGTCTTAACAATGTCTCAGTCGAGTTCGAAGATGAGCATGATCGGCCGAGCCATTCGTGAGTTATTGCAAAAATAGTCATTTTTCCCTATGGCTCCCTATGCGAAAATCGACCGATCCCAGCTTTCGTAAACAACTTTTCCTATCATAGTTAAATAAAATCCCAACTATTATATACCATTCGATAGAGAATTTCACGAGCTACAAAATGGTATATAAAATATAAAGTAACAAGAAGGCTAACTCACCTATTACAAAGATAATTAAAGGGAAATGGGTTCCGTTTTTGTCCACGATCTAATTGACTCACAATTTGAGCTCTATCTTCCGATCACAGAGTTGATACTGTGAGGTTTTCTGGGGCGGAGAACTTGAATCCGTACTCCACTTGCCTCGAAATACTATTGGTTGAATAGTGACCAATAGAAATCAAGTTATAGGAAAAACGACTTTCTAAGGGTAAATCAAGGTGAAGAGTAGAAATCTGAGCTGTATTCGCCTCCAAGTCCTATTTGTTGGACAGTAGCCAATAGAAAACAACAGTTCATAGGAAAGTTTCCCCAGTGTAATTTTGATGTCAAGACATTCTACGATGACTTATCTGTCTAATTCACTTTTTGAAGTACACATAACTCTCGGATTTAAATCCGAAGTTTCCGCATTTATTATTTTTAAATTAAAGTTTAAATGTATATGAATACAATCGAAAGAAAAAGCAAACACTATAGTCACGGGCCAGAGTACAGAGGAAAAGATTACTTAGGTTATTTACAAAAAGAAAAAGAAATCGAAACAAAGTTATCAAACGTAATTCAATAATAATCTCGACGTGGATTGTTCTAAAATAAGAAATTAAATTTTCATATTTATTGAATTAACAAAGATCAATAAACATACTAATGGATTTGGTCGAAATCTATAAGCAAGCATCATACGTTTTCGATACATTTGAAATTCATCATCATTACGATCTAATTCTGATGGACGATCTTGCCCAAGACCAGCATGATTTACTGGTACTGTTCCTCTGAACATATATACATATAAATTTTAATTCAAAATTAGTTTATGTTAAAACATACTTATTAATTGGATTAACAATTCCTTGTGAATTTTTACCTAAACCTTGTCCTTCTTTCCATCCAAATTTTTCCAAAAGACGATAACCAATATTTTCAGCTTGAATTTTAAAATCACGATAATCGGATACATCAGGAGTTTGACCTTCTTTTAATGTCTTAATAAGAAAAAACGATTGTGCTGTTTTTTTTGCATTAAATTTCTTTTACAATAAGACCTCTCGATTGTGAATACCATCAGGATCAAGTTAAAAGTGCTCACTTTATGAAGGTGCTTATTATTAGGAGATTTTCAGTATCTTTTTTTTTTCAACCTATGCAATCGCTGTTCGGTTACACAAGATAATGTTTTTTCTCTCTACTTCGAACAATTTATATGTGTCTCATGATCGTTTATCATAACGCAATACATCTAACATCAGTTGTTTTACTCGTTCTGCACGTGAGTGTTAGAACATATGTTGCCCAATTTATAGAGATTGTTATTGCTCATGAGACTACAAATATATATCCACTATTCAGCATTAGGAGAGGCTCTACTGTATTTCATTTAATTTACTGAATAAGTTTTCATAAATTTTTCTAATTCATGTGCTGGAATAAAATCACCAATATGATGTTTTCCATGTGCCATTTCAGTTAATTTAACGGCCCATTCTAAATAATAAAAAAAAACAATCTTTAATTAATTTCAATAGAAATGAATTCCAAAAATTAACCTCGTGTTATATCCATTTCAGCTGTACGTAATCGATGTTCCCATGTTCCTGTTTTATTATCACTTTCTTCATCTGAATCATATTCATGTTTATGTTGTTGTTGTCGAGCAACTTTTTCTAATTCACGTCTTTTAACCATCATCGTTTGATAGATTGATTGAAGCTAAAAGAAATATTTATTTATTAAAAATTAAAAAAACAAAAAATGATCTTGTTTTATACTTCTTTCTGTTCAACATATTGTCCACGTTGTTCATCATTCATTTTTGTTCCATCATATCCTTCAGGATATAATTTCATTTGTTCATTAAGTTGTCCAACAAATTTTTTTGCTTTTTCCGTTGCTTGATAAAACAAAAAATAAAACGATTAAATATAAAAATAAGAGAATTAATTTTTTAAACCTTCATGAATTTGTTCAACAAATTTATATTCAACCGGTTCTTGTTTAGTAGCTAATAAATATAAAATTTTTCTTTTGATATTTTTATAGAGAAAAAATTTTTTTCTTCTACGTACTACCCCAACGTGATTTACGTTTACGATTATTTTCTTCATTGTTCTCTTTAAAACAAAACAAAAAAGAACAAATTGATTAATTATCAAACAGAAATCATATTTACGATTATTAGTCGTTGATTTATTCAATGAATTTGTCTTTCGATCATCAATATCTTCATTATCGTCATCAGCATTCCACCTTTATATTTGTAAAATAAAAAAAAAAACGAAGATTGAATTAATAAACATATTAATAAAAATAGAAGAAAAAAATGATAGCTCAACACAAGAATAAATATATCCAAAGTGTGTATGTGTATATGTACCACAACGCCGACGAAGTAGAAAGATCGGTCGATGTGGTGGCGACTTGACATCGATGATTTCCACCATTATCATGCTTCTGATGTTCATGTTCTAGGGAAGAAACTGGACAAACACGGCATTAATGATCATGTTGTTTTTTGTAAATATGGGAAAAAAAAGGAAATATAAAAAGAAATTTTCTACCTAATGAAATATTTTTTAAGTTGTCATTTTTTTTTGTTTTGTTGGGTTAGAACAATACTTACGATTAGTATTTGTTGATGTGAATTGATCTAAAAACAATATCGATAAGTTTCTTGTTTTTGTGTATGAATAAAACTATTAAAAGACTGACTGGGTTCAATTTTGATTGTATATTCTTTTTTTATATTAAATGTTCTATTTGTTGGTTTTTGAGTTGACAGCTTTTTTTGTTCAGTATGTTCTTCATCTTCATCTTCAACTTTTAATGGATCATAGAGATCTGCATTATTGACATTATTATTATTGTTGTTATTTGTTGTTGATAAATTATTTACGGGAGCAGGAACTGGTAAAGGTGGAGGTGGTGTTTGAAGCATTTTTGAAAGAAATTCAGGTGATGGTAATGGAAATGATGTTGTTGAAGGAGGCGGAGGTGGTGGAAGAAAGGGTGGTGGAATAAAATTAGATGAATTATTTGAGGTAGATGGTGGAGATGAAAAAAAAGCTGATTGTGCATTAAATGAAGGAGGTGGTAATGGGGCTAAAGTATAAAGAATGAAATTATATTTTCTTTTTGTGAGAAAACAAATTGTACGTACATGGATTGAATGGTAATGGAGGTACTGGAAATGATGGTAGACCGTGTTGATCAAACATAGATGAAGGTTGAGAACTTGGCGGAAACCAAGGTGGTCCAAATTGTTGTGGAGAATTTGTAGAAAGATATTCTGATCCACAAGATGATGACTAAAATGTTAGTTAGATAATTAAATTTGTTTCAATTGAGAAAAAATTTAATTTACTTGTTGTATATTATTATTCGGATTTGTTATTTCCGATGACGTTAACATTGATGATTGATCTTGTGATTTTCGAAATTGTTCAAGAAATGAACCATCATTTTTAAAGATATTGTTTCCTGCTAGTTGATGCTCCGAACTATTGGTTGTTTTTTGATAAAAAAATATTTATATTAGATAAAACTATGATTTATTATCTTACTTGTTGTTCACATTATTTTTCTGAACAGCTAGATAGAAATTCATAAGATTAAATTAATTTTTTTTTAAACAAATAGTTAACTTACAATCATTATTATTTTTCTTTGTATTATCTAAACGTATTTTTTCTTCGATCATTCGTTTTTTTTCTTGTATTAATAATTCTTGAGCTGACATAGCTTGTAATTTTTGTTGGGTACGAGACATTTTAAAAGTGAATAAAAAAACAAAGAAATCACACAAAAAAGAAGAAATCTGAAAAAAATAATAATTTCAAGATTTTATTATTGCCAATATTCATGAACAATAACCATAACAAACAGTTAGATTTAAGATGCTACTCTCTTGCAAGCCTGAATAATTATTAACAAATGGCGAAATCATCAACCAATGTGCATTTATTTGTCTTTGATAAAAATCGATTGAAATTTCTCTTTTTGTGTTACTTATAAAAACTATTTATTTTAAAATAAATAGAAAAATAAAAATAAAAATATGATATTAGATGTCGCTAGAAGTTAAATGATAATGATTCTAGATAAAGTGAAATATAACACATGGCAAGAATTATCTTCTCCTCTATTCATTAGTCTATCATTAATAAAATTGTCTGAAATTGGCAAACAATAATTAAAGTCAAGTAGAAATCGAAATCAATTATTGGTCGAAAAAAAGTTTTAGTTGTTAATAATACATTGGGAGAATAGCAGTGTTTTCAAATGCAGGTGTGCCCAGCAATAGTAAAATATGGATGTGGGTTGTTAATTTCTCGAAGCAAATATTCAATTTATCAAACTAATAAAACAAAACAAATCCATAAATCTAGACATAATTACTTAGTAAAATTTCTGAAAACTCATCTTCGCACTTTTTCTACTTTTTATGGAGTAAAACAATAGGTTAGAGAAAGATTTTCTAGACTGATTAGATTGAAATAAAAATATTGATGTTCAGTTTCTTGCAATTAGTTTTCAGTAAAAATAAAGATGTTTTTATAATTTATATTGAAAATTTTCATATTTTGTATTGAGCTTGGTTTTTTTTATATTCATCACCAAAGTATTCGTAGTGCTAATTGAAGTCGGACAAAGACAACTTATTTTACCATTAATCTATCGAAGTTGTAATACTTGCTATACTTTGTGGAGTCAAAGCACTGACTATTATAGTCACTTGTAGTCGTTTTGTACAAAGTAAACATTGTCATTCTATCCATGAATTAGTAGTCAAAAAGCTATTATTATTTTTCCTGTACTTACTGTTGTGTTATGCAGCGAAAAGAAAATTGGTGCGATACTGAACTGAAAAAGGTATAGTGGACGGAAAAAAGGTTTCGAATTCGTTTCAATTATCGGAACCATTTTAGGTTCGGTACAGACCACTACGAAAAATTCGAAAAAGTATCCTAAGCCAATAACAACCAATTTTAGACAGTTGACGTTTAGTACGAAATCTTTTGGGGGTTTCGTAATCATACAATTTTTTTTTCATTGTACCGAACCATTTTGGAAAGCAATACGAAACCCTCAAAACGTTTCGCACTATGGACGAATAGACTAAAGTACTTTGACTTGTAATGTGTTGACGAAAATAAAAATAGTTATTCTATTCAGATTTTATTTATTTCTATTGTATGAACTTATCTCTAGTCGAATGCTAATTTTGTCTGGACAGAAATGAAATTCGAATTTTGCTCTTAGCGTAGATATAAGAGGAAGCGACAGAATGAAAGAACATGATCACGATTAGTGACATAATGATCATAAAACGTTTCTCATGCATTATAATATATAACCAGTATGAGGGCAAAATGAAACAAACGACTATAGAATATAGATTGCAACATGATATGTTTTGAATCTGCTGAATTACGAAAAGTGAGATCAATTAGTTATCTACTAATTTCGTGACAACTTGATTTTGAACGCACAACGTCACACAAAATAAGGTCATGTATGGCTTTGTAAGGTCCTAATAGTTTCTTGATTAAATTTTCAGAAAAACGCATAAATATAAATATAGTTTTTCATGAGTCTTTCATTAAAATACACTACTAAATTGCAGCAGCATTTATGTTTCTTTTTTCGTCATGGTTGGATAGAGCAAGACGAATTACATAAAAAAAAACAATGTCACGCATATTAAAAACCAATTCAACGAGGTCTAAGAAAGTATGATTGATAAATGTAAGGCTAGCAGATACAAAATACTGATTTTTGTAAAATTAGATTTTAATATGCGTGACGTTGTTTTTTTCTTATGTAACTTGTCTTGCTTTATTTAACCATGGCGAAAAAGAAAAAACAAATGCTGCTGCAATTTTGTAAGATGGATACATGACAGATTAAATATTTGAAAATTCGAATGTCTTGATCTGCATACGGTATGCGCAGCTCAACAGGAAATTAATTAGTTTGACAGTAAGAGCATTCATTTGATTCGAACATGATCAATCTTCTTAATTTACAATACACCACCTTCCATTGTAAGTTTATTTTTACGTAAAATTCGGTTTTACGTATGACACACACATATATATTTAAGTAATTCAAGATGGATTTAACAGGAGTAAAACCTTGTTTAGTTTTGTAATCTTATCTTTGAATCCAATCTTGTTCGATTCTTAGTTGAAACTATTGTCTTTAATCAATATTGTATCCAACATACAATCGCTCACGATACTTTATTAAAACTTTCCAAGAACTATTTTTGTAATAATGGGAGCACATTTCTGAAAAAAAAAGGTGTAGGTATAACACAAGTTTTTATAATATTGATTGATATGACATTGTGATTGAGTTATTACTGTTTATCATTTATTAGTAAAGCAACAATTTCGAATTAATGTCTCTGATAAAAAAGAAAAAACTGTGCTTAGCTTAAATAGCTGAAATTTAATGCATTATCTGTTGAGGAACATTTTTTTGATGGAAGTAGAAAGAAATTTTCATGTTCAAATAGGAAAGAAGTTCATTTACTAAAAATATTTAATTTTCTATATATCTTACATAGATTGTTCTTATTAGAAACAGTTTTTTTCTTGCTGTTCAAACTAGGAAGAGTGCTCCTAATAAGAACAAATTCAACTACTCGTAAACTACCACTAATTACTCATTTAATTTTCAAGATAATTGAATAATTCTTGAATTATTCGATTTAGCAGACTTTTGTCTATTCAATAATATAAAAAGTATATCATTTTCTTAAAAAAATTTTGAGAAAAAAGAATTTTCGCGTCTCTGAAAAAGCTGTCCTTAATAGAGAACTTTATTGTACGATATTTTTCTAGTTCTGAAAATTACTTCTGTTTTTTCATGGTTTTTGAGTCGGTTCAAGAGAAACAACCAATAGAAGAGGTCGAAACTACTCCGGAAAAGACATTCTTTCATAGGAATCCAGTCAGATTTGATGGCCAGCATAATTAAACTGGGTACTTGTAAGACAGTGGCTTCTTTTTATTTCAACTTACGCATGTTGACGTTTAGAAATTCTTTCAATTGAGCAGGTCAACATGAAGTTCTAATATCAGAATAACTATATGAGTATATATATATGTATATTTTTTTATTTCTTCTTCTTTTGTTTTCTTATATAAAAAGCAACAAAGTAAACGTAAATAATATAAATG